TACATTCATATACACAGATACCATGGTAAAAGTGTAAGTAGGAAAGTAGGCTACAAATATATGAGTATATGAGTTATCTGCTTCCCTAATGTATGTGTGGATGTAAAATATATCCCATTTTCGTTGTGGATGTCGGGACACATAGCGATGCATTCAGAACACACGTGCGTGTCAAGTGTAATGTTACCCCGGGACATGTCGATTGATGGAAAAATGAATATATATATGGAAGATATAGTATGTATTCTTTGTTGAATCGAAGTGTTTCGTGCTATAGCGCCATCAGTCGGTCTCAATGCGAAAATTGGAGATTGATTTCTCGCTCGCGGAATTGATTCGCTGGTTTTTCCGCGTCCTGATGAGTCATAGAACTTTTACGCAGCGAAATCGTTCCACCACTATGCAGAAACAATTGGAATGTGTTCACATCAGAGCGTGCAAGTTTCTAAGGTAACGGCGGAACTCTTTTGTTAGTAACTTGACTGCATGTGACAAACATTGTAGAACTTTTTCATCATTTCCTTATTCGCATGTATGTAAACTCGAATTTCTGGTCGTGATACGTTGACCATATCAACATGAAATATGAAACAAACATATGAATGAGTGTTGTATATGGTCAAATCAGTATCTTGATGGAAATGCAAACCTAATCTTTAGAATGTAACTAACCCCCTTAGAGTAAACAATCGTGTTGCTAACAAATAACCACCCCTAGCGCACTTATAAAAGAGGTCTGTGACACTGTATTGGTAGTGATCGTTTTACCTATGACTTTTTAAATTTGCTTTAAAGAACAGTCAAGTTTAGGTAAGTTTATTACGGTAGTTATTAAATGGATTGTCGATGATTTGCTTGAAACGTTTTTTAATCATACAACACATTTTGAGTCGCTGTTTTGTCAAAAAAACAAAACACATTTTCGTTTTCGTTCAATGTTTACTGATGGTGAGCAACAGATTCAATTAATACACGATTTATTGTATCATATCCATTCATTCTCCCATGCGTACGTGTTACGCGAAACCTTGGGAATGTATCATTTCTCAGCATCCAGGCTGTAGGAATACAGTTATATAATAGCGATGGAATATGTGTAACATGACATGGGAAATATGCAAACGAGGGTAACTAGAAGAACTATTTAAACAGCTGAAAAACATGGATTTCCAGTTGAAAAGATGATTTGTTAGAGAAAATGGATTAAAATAGAGATGGCAGGGGAGTGTTTCTCTGTGTAAATATGGCCGTGAAATAGTTTTTCAACTCCAAAATTACCTCAAAAAACATGAATATATTATGCTATAGCCAAAGATAATTTGCATGTTCATGGATAGCAGATTTTTTATGATTTGCGCACGAATATTAATATGGTGATATATCCACATGTATACAACAGTTGCTGATTGTGATACAGTGAGAATATCAACATGAATTATGAAACCAACTCATGAATGATTGTGTCGGGTTAAATCTGTGTCTTGATTGAAATACAGGCCTTTACTTTAGAATGTAAACAGCCCCTTAGTCTTACAGTGAATAAATCGTATCGCTTTCAGTAATCTTCTCTATACACTTAAACAAATGACCCCCTAGCTCACTTATAAGAGAAATCTTGGACATTGTATTGGTAGTGGTCGCTTTAGCTATGATTTTTAAATTTGCTTCACTGAAGAGTTAAGTTTAGGTACGTTTACTTTGGTAGTTATTGAATTGACTGTAAGACATTTGTAAGTTGTATGTTTGGTCACTCCGATCATGGACGTTATATGCTGGAATTGTTTTTTAAATCATCCATCACAATTTGAGTCGCTATTTTTCAAAAGCCAAGACACACTTCTGTGTTTGCAATTGAATGTGTACTGATGTTAAGCAACAGGGTAAATTAATACACTATATATTCGTGTCATACGTTCCACCCATGATTGCAAAAGCCATTTCTCCCTGAGTTTATATGTCTCAACTTTTAAGCAAAAGGGGTATGATATGTGTGAACACCATGATGCAGTCATTTGTTCCAGCCGAAATACAATATGCATAGTACTATATAAACAATTGATGAATAGTAGAAAGAAGTGTCGTCGGTTCAGTAATTGAAACCTGAACTTACATATATTGAAAGACTCGTGGTTAGTATTCTTCTCGTTTAAATATGAGCTGTTACAGCTAATAGACTGACCAGTTCCTCATCATTATTATATGACCCTGGCACGTGCTTATAATGATTCTGGAATGATAATGATAGCTGGAAATAATTTTCGCTGAATAGACTTTTAGGGTGTTTTGTATGGAATTTGTTTTCATAGATTTTTGGCGAGTTGAATTTAAAATTTAGGAACAACAGTATATTTGCTGGATTTTTTTCACTAAATGATTCCTTCAGCGAAAATAGCGAAAATGAATTCCAAGCGAAAAATAAGTATTCTACAGTGTAGAATGATTAGGTGCATAAGCGTCTTCTAATAATAAATACAAACATTGCTGCCACCATAGTTTGACCGGACTCCACACAAAGAAGTTTGCTGATTCTGTTCTAAACATTTTGAATTTCGGCATTCCCATGGTGTATTATTGGAAGGAAAAGATGTATTCACTTTCAAGATTTTGGAATGTGCGAGATGCATGCAAAATAAAAAAAAGGGAAGGATGTGACTGCACACAGCACGCTAACGTGCATTCAGAAAATAATATAAACAAACACTAGGAAAATAAAACAATAGCCTGTAAAACCTCATCTCCGAGGGCGTATTCATCCAATTACGTCATGGAAATATCAGTTCTTTAAATTTGCCGCACCATAGGACATTCCTACGTGCGTAGATAATACATTTATGTTTTTGCTAGTGGCTGCAATGGATGTCTAACATGAATAAAACCAAATAACCCCTTTTCTTACAAAATTAATCAACTACGACAACTGCCAGAAAAGCATTTCTAATTTAAAGACCCGACTTTACACAGTACTGTTGATATTAGACGGTTAATGTCAAAATCACTTGTGTAAAAGTATTATTATGCTTACAACGAGCTAATTATACCCACCAAATTACTTTTGGAACATTAAGGCTAATCGTTCTCTAGAATGTCACCGTCAAAATAAAGAATTTCTCTATAAGGATATTTGACATCAAAATAAACTATTATGCATGTAGGTGAATGTATCTTTACAAAAATAAGCTATTGTGTAGTAAATATTTGTTGTTACAGTGATTATCTTTTAAGACTAGTAATATGGCAATTAAAAATATGTTGTTTTATATTGTAGATGCTGAACACGACGTATGAAGACCAACACAGACAGAACATAACAATCGACAAACAAGGTGATGTCAACAGAATTTTGTTATACCACAGGACATTCGGCCGAATGACATTACTCAAAGATACTGAAGACGCTGTGTACAATAGTCGAAAAACCTACTGCAACAAATCCTGAATACCTCACTTTTGTATTCATTTGTTATTTTCTTCTTTCTTCTGATTATTGATTGAATGGTAAACAGGACTTCAGCATAAGACCATCATTCAAGTTATCTTTCAGTAATCATTTTCTTTCCGGGACACTTCTACCTTTTCATATCTTCTCCATACAAAATACCCTGTAAATCGATGCAATGAACGTAAACTAAAATCTGCGTAGCATACAACCTTTTTAATTAATGTTATGCTCAGTTGACAAGAACTATGGGGAGTGCTTCATCCTTGTTATCAGAGCCGGAACCTAAGTTTGAAGTTACGAATACTCCTCTAAGAGCATTACCAAATACACTATTTGATACTGACTCCATTCTATTCAAGACGCTGAAATTACCTAATAATAACATTCTAGGTATACAGCATGAAGTGCAACAACTTACAAGTCTGGAGGTAGTTGATCTAAGCCACAACAAGATAGCCCGTGTTCCATTTCAATTATTGGAGCTACCTCGTCTCAGGTGCCTGTCACTCGCGGGTAATCGTCTGCAAAGGATATATGATGTCAACAAGGCTACTAAACTGCAATATCTTGATCTTAGTGAAAATCATTTCAAAAGCATGTTAGATGTCCATGGATTATTTGAACTCAACAAACTCAAAAATCTTCAAATGAGATCCAACAGACTGACAGAAATACCAGATAACATCAGTAAACTACACAGTTTACAATGCCTTGACTGTAGTCTGAATGAAATTAGAGTAATTAACAAACTTCCTTCCGCATTGCACACATTCAAATTACGAGCTGGACAAGGTCCAAGTCTAACAATTAACAGTAACATTGGCAACACTTGCAGGCGAATGAAACACTTAGATCTAAGTAACAACCACATCGATTCAAAAAACGAGGCAATGGATAATGAAATCGGAGTCTTATCCACAGTCTCGCAAATGACGAAACTTACATACCTTAATGTTGAAGGCAATGATATCAATACTATTCCATCCACATTTAGCAACTTGACTAATTTAAAAACATGTATTATGAAAAATAACAATATCAATGCACATTCTGGAGTACCTCTGACATCCCTACCACGCATTGAACACCTTGATATTGACAATAATGCATTTCATTCAATTTTCACAATTTCAATTAAATCCATGAAATATATCTCAGCTCGTGCCAACTGCATCGTATCACTTCCTGAAAGGATGGCTCCAGAAATATTAGAAGAACTATATTTAGATGACAATGAGCTAAATGATATTTCAAATGTTAAATTTAATTCAATGGCAAAGTTGAGAGTTCTTTCCTTGAGAAACAACCATCTACAAACCATTCCTGACAGCTTGGGGCGTGTATTTAATTTAGAAACATTAGACCTCGAAGGTAATCAGATAAAAGACATCCCAGAAAACCTTTCATGGACAAAAATGAAAAAAATTAACCTTTCAAAAAATAAGTTGAAACAGTTTCCTACTCAGCTAGAAAAAGCACCCCAGCTTGAAAATTTAAACCTTTCGAGCAATACACTTGGCGACACTGCAACTAAAACATTATTCAGTACCTTGCAAAAGCTGAAATGCTTGAACATCAAAAATACTGATTCCAAGCATATTCCAGATGGATGTTGTAATTCTGAAAACTTAGAAGAACTTATACTCAGCGACAACAGTTTTGAGGAGATTCCACATGACATCCAT